GACCGACCAAACAGTATTCCATTATGTGTATATATGCCACATATTCTTCATTCATTACATTTTGACATTGAATTGACTCCAAATCCTGCTTATTGTGAATAAGAGCGAGTGTCTCTTTGACATACTGATTTCAGTTCCTTTGGCTATATGCTTAATCATGGGGCTGTGAGGTTCATAAATATTATTTTAAGGGGCCTCCCCAGGAAGATTACACATTCCAGTTACATTCCATTGGCTCAAATTTTCATTCTTACATGGACAATTCTAACAATAGAGGGTGATGGGAAGTGTGGTCTTTGTATGGGATGGACCCAGTGGACAGACAGAGGTAACATGATTAGGGAAAACAGGGTGGATAGGTATTGGGGGAGGAGAAAAAGAATATCTGCCATAGAAAGTATTGCTCTGAATAGCAGGGGGCTTTGAAGTCAGCAGTCTTGGGGTAAACTCCAGTTCTTACTTAGTAGCTATTCTATCATGGCCAAGCCAGCCCCCTTAATCTCTTTGATTTACTCTGATGTATCTTACATAAAATGGTACGATAGTCACCCCTAGGGACAAATGAAGAAATGTATGTTCACTATTAGTCATTGTGGTTATCACATTAGCCCGCACACTTGTGTATTTGGCTTAATTTTCTTGTACAAAGGCATAGCATACGTTAGACATGGTGTACTATTCCAACTGGATAATCGGTCTGGCTAGGGCCAGTGTAGCTGGGGACATGATACTCAGGTGAGTGTCTGAAGAGGACAAAGCAACTTGCCTCATGTTTATACAGTTTTCATGTCACCAAACAAGAGGACAGACAGGGTTAGAGGTGAGATTTAAGAAGTATTTATGTTTCAAGAATGCATGCGTGAGAGAAGTCTGTGGAAGCAAGAAGACATTGGGGGACACAGTGCTAGGCCAGATACACACCTAAGAGAGAAGGATCCTCTGTCCTGTCACTAGAAGTAGGCTCCAAAGCTGAAGGTTTGGGTGTTTGGAATCTGAGAATCCCTGTTTATGAGGGAGGATTTTACTTGAATATTCTCAATGCTCTCCCTGCATTAGCGTGGATTCTCATCTGAACTATTTCAAGTTGTTCCCAGGACAAGGGAGGTGTGGTGGTGGTTCAGACTACACCTCAGGTAGCATTTCAGTCATGATTATCCCCTGGTACTTTCCATGATTGGCCACTGAGGCCAGGAGACTTATAAACATGACACAGTTTCTGACTGGAAAGCTGTTACCACCCCTGGAGAACCAGGCAAAGAGCAAGCCCAACAGAGAATATGAATGTTCCCATAATTACCCCTGCTGGTGTGTGACTCTTGCCTTGATCCCATGACCTGCTGAGGCCGTGGAATGTGGGCCAGTAAGAAGGCACTAGTTCCAAGCATAGCAATGCTTGCTTCTGCCTGTGTTGCTTGGCCATTCCTGAGAACGGGTGTTTCCAGCTTTAAGGATACTGAGAGCAACATGGAGGCCATGCGGACTCCGCCTGTGTCTCGGAGTCATCCTCAGCCCTGCCTGGTCTTGACTAGTCAGCCTGTATATGACATAAAGACTTGTGAGTCACGGCCAATGATCACTTTATGTCGTCAGCACTGGGGATAATCTGCTACGCTGCCTTGCTATGGTCATGGTTGGCTTGCTTAACCAGCAGTTGTGTGGTGTGAAAGGCCCAGGAGCCTTTTAGACAAGCAATTGGTGGACCATGCCTAGGGTAGGAATGCTTCATGAATTTGTACATGATATTCACTGTTTAGATTCTCATCCCTTCAAGATATTCTTGCTCTCCCCTCCCCCCGCAATACTTTAGACCAGGAAGTTAGCACTGTGTAGAATCTCTAAGTGCATGTCAGAATTGTGTATAAAGTAATAGTCAGTCTCCAGGTCTATGTCATTGACTTAAGGATCTTCTAGATCCTGAAGACTGAGGATGCTCAAGACCCCTATTGAAGATGGTGCGGTACCTGTGTATGAATTGTATAATCCTCCTGTATGCTTTGAATCATGTCTATGCCACTTATGATATCAAACACAAAGGAAATGCTAGCTGTGCCGTTGCTCTAATGTCTTGCTTAAGGAATATCAAGAGTGGTCGATGTCTCTGCATGTATGGCAGAGATGGTGAGAAAGAATAGGAAGGGCCCAAGTGGCCCAACCACGTTTTATGACTTTGGCAAGTAGTCTTAGCAAATGGGTATTTCAGACATAATATTGTTCTGTGAAAGGGAGCGGAGGTGGGAAGAAAGCCTGAAGGACAGGCCTTTATGAAATGCTGTCAGAACTCTATAGTAAAAAATCTTCTGTCATGGGTCTGTAGGGGTGCGAATCTCCAAACCCCTAGGTCTACAGCTCCCTAACTCAGACAAGCAGCCCTCCATCTGGTATTTCATTCCAGCCTCATCCCCTCTTCAGACTCCCCCTCCTCCCACATAGAAGGTTGTATTTGGGAATGCAGCAGAGATGTGCAATTTTCTCAAACTCTTTTTTTCTGTTGGAATTTAGACAAAGCAAAGCTCTCCAGATAGGAATTCCAGTCACACGTCTTTAAGGGTATCTCTGACAGGGCACACGGGTCTAGCTGCTTGCTGACTGCAGGTTGGAGTCATCTGGGGGGGAAGAAGGATTACTAATTTGGGGATCCCCTTTCAGCTGCAGTTTCTCAGGGTGTTAGGTACTTTTTGAAAGCTTCCAGGTGATCCTAGTATGTAGTCATGCCGAGAAACATGAATCCAAGTGGGGACTTCCTGAGAAGACCCAAGTGAATCAGAATCTAGGGCCCAAGAATCTCCTAATTTAACATGCGCTAAGCAAGTCAGTTAGCGTGGCAAGTTCTGCTTAGACACCGTCTGAAGACACAAAGGGGAAAAGGGTGAAGGGCAGTAACCTCTGCAAATGGTTTCCGCGTACCCCAGCAGAAACCATCTTAGTGAAAATGCTGGCCCTGCTTCCGAAGACGATATGCGATCACACTGATGTACCAAAATAAGACTGATGGACTTAACTTTCCTCGGAGTTTTTCCATTCTGGCTTTCGAGTTTTGAGGTGTTTCTTTCTTCCTCTTTGGCTACCTACCCACGTTTATCCCGGCTTTGATGAGGCTGAGGTCAGGAAATCAGTTGCCACTCTACCCCAGGCAATAGACTCAATTTCCATCCTGGGAAATGACAACTTGAGACGGAGGTATGATTAGGGAACAGGTGCTCCTCTCCGCAATGGATGTGGTCCAATGCTAAGACAAGCTTGGTAACTTTTCAGAGAACCCTGAGAGATTCAGGGATGAGTTCCTAAAGTTTGACTTTTGTCTTGCCTCGGAGGCGTGTTATTACTGCACCATGGGCCAGCACCCGATACATGGCCACATAGTTAAGAAGAAGAGATGGAGTTCCTTGTGTGGGTCCCCACTGAGACCTGAAGAACTCCACCTTGAAGCTAGGGAGAGAATAGAACATCACGTGAGCTGTGCTTTTGAAGAAATAAAGGGTTTTAAGGTTGATCCTGTTCAGTACGATCAGCTTAGGCCTTCTTGAGACTTTATCTGGGCACTCCTGAAAACATGACAACGCTGTCCCACACTCAGTGGAAAGAGGGCTTCAGTGGCTACCCATCTTATGACACAGGCTTCCTCAGGGTCCTACAGGAAGTTACACGGCTTGAGGCAGACTCTGACCTTTTGTCTGCTCTGGTAGAGGTCTGTAAGGCTTTTCACCAGAGTGGGTGGAAAGGTCTGAGAATCATAAGAGGTTAGAGAAACCTATGAAGCTCTGGCTTCCCTGACTTGATTGCTACCTCAGGGCCACCCCACAGAGCCCCTGAAGGTCTATAGCCAGCTCCAATAGGAACAGTGACATCAAGGTCAGAACCAGTGCGCATAAAGGAAGGGAGCCTGCTCTCTCTGGTCACTCTCGGGAGGGCACACTGAGAAGTGCCCCACGCTAAACCCAAGCTCAGTCAGAGGGGGCATTGTCACCACCTGGACTGAAGAGGCCTGAGGGTCCTTCAGGCTCTACCACCTTCTCCACAGAGTCACTGTCACCACAGAGTCACACCAGGAGAGCCTCGACTTAGGTAACCCTTGACCCGCAAACAGGGAAACAGTTTTATTATATATGGAGTTTCCTGTTCTAGTCTAATCCAACTTCTTGGCCTTCATTGCAATGTCAGCTGCCCAATGATGGGTATAAGTGTGCAGCCTAAAGTCAGGAGTTTAACTTTCCTTACAGTCAACACCTGTTTCTATTTCCATTTAGAGAGAATGGATAGGTTTCTACAGGTTTCTATTTCCGTTTAGAGCGAATGGATAGGTTTCTTCATTCGCTAACTTACTTTGATGGTACCAGTTCTAAACTCATATACATCCCTAACAGACAATCTCTGAAAATACAGGTTGGCTCTGGAATTGCTAGGGAGACAGACTCCTTAGACCCCACCCTTGTTCATGAAGATAAAGGGGAGCATCTTCTTGGTCCCTAGGACTCAATATTTATCCAAAATTTGAATCTCTTCAGTGTCACGATCCTGTGTGCCTTCTAAGGGTGTGATTGGGACCTACAGGAAGCTCCCGAACTTTCTTGGGGTTGGGGACAGCCGCTCTCTTTTTTTGGGGCAGTGTTTTTTAAACAAAGTACTATGAAAACCATGCTAAGAAAGGGAGCTGGGCTGCAAACACAGACAAGTGCCATTGTTAGGATCCAGAGGACAACCCTGTGCTTCTCAGGCATGGTGATCTAGAGGTTTCTAACCTATACCCTCAGGAGAGGCATCAGGACCACATGTTACTAGAACTGCCAAGGAGAGATTTCTATGCTTCTAGCCTTTGAGCAGCCAAAAACAGATATTGTCAGTCATGAGCTATTAAAATCTCTGAAGATACTAATCTTGAGGGTGGAGGGTGGGATGAGAGATGAAGAAAGCTCTGATTTCTCAACCCTGCTTTCTAGCTTTAATGAGAAACAGGCTCTGCAGGATCACACTATTTAAGCCATTTCCCTCCAGAGGGACTTCAGTTCTGAGCAATCCTGGGTGTCTGAGGCGAGCATCTCGGATTGTGTAGGCTTCGCTCCTCGCCCCTTCAGAGTGACCCAGGGACTCTAGTCTGTGTTCTGCTCCCTTGTGCCCACCTGAGCGTAATCCCCTCCAAAGCCTCCTGTGGAGTTGCTTGCTTTATTTTCTACCTTGAACGGAGCAGAAGAACCCAAGGCCAAGGAGGCACAGTAGCTTCCTGTGAGCTGTGGTTCCACCACTGGCAGGGCAAACAGGTAACAGGAAGGGCTGAGTGGATGGGTATTAATGAGAGGAGATCCTTTTGCTGGTTTCTCATCCATGGCCTGGCCCGTTCAGTCTGCCCACGTGGAACCAGGAAAAGCTCCACGAGGAGTAAAACCTGAGGACTTCTGGCTTCCAGTGATTTGTTAAACTGTCCACAAATTCAGCAAATGAGTTGGGATGGAGCAGGATGGTGAATAAAGTGGATTCCTCATCCACATAGAGCTTGTGTGTGTTTAATGAAGAATTGCTACAGAGGACCACAGAGCTGGAGAGGAGAGTGTGGAGGGGGCACTGGGGCCAGAGTGTAACGCAAGGCTCATGCTGAGGGTGAGGAGAGACCTCACTCAGAGAGTGGTGTGTGGGTGCACGCCTGAAGGAGGAATAGGTACAAAGAGTTGCCCAGGGCTGGAGCTATTGAGATGCATTCATTACTGGAGAGACAAGACATTTGGGACCTGAAATTTCCATTCCAGGCAGGTGTGTGGGAGACACCCAGGGGTTTAATGTTAGGCACCTTCAGAAACATAGCCGCAGGGAGAGAAATAAAATGGTTTGAGTTTTCTTATTTGAAAATTTGTAGACCAAATGTTCCTCATCCTCAGGTGCAGTTTCAAGACCCCGTTCTATCCCCCAGGACCATCTTTCCACAGAAGCTCACGTTCCTACCAACTCTTCTTTCTCCTCTTGTAGGCTCCGAGAGTCCCGTGCCCTTGGGAAGTTGGTACTAACGATGTTCATCTTGTGTGTGCTGGTGACTTGCGTTTCTGCTCTCACCACTTCGTCAGTGGAACACGCAGAAAGGGTTTCTGGAACCCCTACTACGCCAGAGAAACACACAGGTAAGAAATAACCACTTCAACAGGGAAAGGGCCTGACCCCGTGTTTCTGGGGAGCACAATTCTCTAAACAAATATACATATTCAGAATATGGCCAATCTGCCCTTATTTAAAGAAACATTTGTTATGGAGTTTGAGACCCCTGGAAAAAGACCACAGCCTTAATCTAGATTGTAAATAGTTAAGTTTAGTGAAGCTGTTAGGAGGACAGCAGTTGCTGAGCCAAGCTAGACACTGATGCTCAAAGGGAGGGGGGCGGGGTGAAGGAAGGGGTTTTTACACGCGAAAACCACAAGAACACCTTGAGTATCAGCACAAGCAAATCAAGAACTGTTCTGCTCTGCCAAGATTAGGTAGCCAAGGCTACCTCAAAATAGTCCTTGAATGTCTATATAAGAAGGTTACAGAATCAAAGCAAGTCTTCAGTCATATCATGGAAGTGGGTGGTCATGGGTGTGTATTTCTGGTTGGGAGTCACTGAGTTACTGAGATAAATTATTGGGGCTTATCTTTCAGGGACTGGCATCAGAGAGAAATGGCTAGTTGTTACTAAGGTGGAGGCTTAGGAGAAAATAGAATTTCTTTAGCCATCACACCTTTGATTTGAAATCTGTCTCAACCAACCTGTTTTATCTGTATAGAGTTCAACATTTAATATCAACAAATGGATATATAAGACCATGTATTTAAATCTTTAAAAAAGAAATTTAAGATGTTTTTATTTCTGTGTGCATGCACATATGTGTGTGTGTGTGTGTGTGTGTGTGTGTGTGTGTGCTCCCACATATGCAGGTGCCCTGAAAGACCAGTAGAGAGTGTCAAATCTCCTGTAACTAGAGTTACAGATGGTTCTGAGCCTTCTGACGTAGATGCTGAAGAATGGAACTCCATCCCCCATTTTTTTTTTTTAAATAGCATTGTGAATCTGATTTAACTGACTCCTCGGGACGAAAGCTGAAATTGGTGGTCCTCAGGTTATCATTTGGGGAATTCCAAAGCATAGTAGCAGGGAGTACTGCTCATGGGATCCTGGGTGCGGGTCAGTTTGCTGGGGACATACAGACTCTTACTTAGATGACCCTGTGTACCCTTTTGTTGGGACCACCTTCAGTTTGGGTACCTATGGTTTTGCTATGTGAGCAGGCTTTGGATCTAAAGCCTACTCTCTCTGACTGGCAGAGCTTGGAGACAACTGCCAATTTCGTGGCAGAGAGTTCAAATCTGAATTCCGGCTGGAAGGTGAGCCTGTGGTTCTGCGGTGCCCTCTGACGTGGTCTTATTCAGATGCCGCTGCCAGTTCCTACCCCTTTCTGACCTGGCGTAAAATGAACTCATCTCAGCTGATCCCTGGAGATGAGCCAAGGCTGTGGGTGAAGGATGCCTCCCTCTGGCTTCTGCCAGCAGAGCAGCCGGACTCTGGGACCTACATTTGCACATTCAGGTAAGACCCTCTGGGACGGGGTGGTGTGGCTCCAGGCAGAATGGAGTCGAAGGTTCTCAGCACACACGGATGGCAATTCACGCTTTGTTCTCCATGGGGTCCCTGCACAGCCCCTGTGCTGGTTAGGGTTTATTTATTTATGTTTATTTCTTTGGTCAACTTGACATTAGCTAGTTTCACGGAGAAAGGGAATTCCATTGAGGAATTGTCTCCATCAGATTGACTTATAGACAAATAGGTGGAACTTTTTGATTAATGGTTTATATAGAAAGACCTAGCCCACTGTTTTAGTCAGTGTTCCTCTGCTACAAAGAGAAACCATGACCATGGCCGTCTTTACAAAAAGAAAACATTTAACTGGGGCTTTCTTTCAGCTTCAGAGGTTTAGCCCATTATTACCATGGTGGGAAGCATCATGGCGTGCGGGCAGACATGGTGCTAGAGAAGGAGCTGAGAGTTCTACATCTAGATCTACAGGCAACACTGGCACTGGCTTAGTCTTCTGAAACTCCAAAGTCCACCCCACCAATGACGCACTTCCTCCAACAAGGTCATGCCTCCTAATCCCTCTCAAAATAGTGCCACTCCCAATTGATCAAGTATTCAAATACTTTAGCCGCTGGGGGCCATTCTTTTTCAAACCACCACACCCACTGTAAGCCATGCCATTGCTGGTCAGAAGGTTCTGGTTATATAAGAAAGGAGGCTGAGTCATTCGTGCAAAGCAAGCCAGTAAGCAGTGTTTCTCCACGGCCTCTACTTCAGTTTCTGCCTCCAGATTCCTGCCTTGACTTCCCTTCAGGATGGAATGTGAGCTGAGAGCTGAAATAGGTCCTTTCCTCTCCAGGGTGCTTTTAGTTAGGATGTCTATCAGTGATGGAAAGTCAACCAAGACAACACCTCGCCTGGACATTATTATAGCTCCCTTCCTCCTGTGGTGTGTTTGATCTCTGCTCAAACGTCACTTCTCTGGAGAGCACTCCCCCAGCATGTTAGCTGATGCAGCATTCGGTCCTCTCTCCTTACCCTGATGTCATTTTTCTTGACCGTGTTTTTCCCACCAGACACACCTGTTCTGTGCACATGTATGTAATATTTGTCCGCCATCAGAACACGAGCCGCAGAAAGAGGGGGATTTGCTTTGTGCCCTTCACTGGTGACTCATGGTAAAGAAACATGTAGAGAAACAAGACATAGATGGAAAATCCCAGGGAGAATTTTAGAACAGGATGGAATCTTAGAGATAGCTGAATCCGATTGATTATTGCACAGATAGAGAAAGTGAGTATGTATAGAAAATTCTTCTAGAAAGGAGCAGGGGATAGACCATGAATCTGGACCAGTCCTCCCTATTTTATGTCCTATTGCTTTTGGAAAATATTCTTACACACATGTAACATGGACCCTGCCATGTTAACTGTCTTTAAGTGTGCCACTCAAGCAAGTTAAGTGCTTCCATATTGTAGCACCACTGTGGCCACCATCCACCTCCAGAGCATCCTCTTCTTCCCAAAATGAAGCTTGGTCCTCATTAAACTGCAGCCATCCTTCTGTTCCTCACCCCCTCACCCCCTGCAACCATCGCTCTACTCCCTCTCTCTCTGTAAATCTGCCTCTCTAGATGCTTCATGCAAGTATTGGTGCCCCTTCCTTTTCAAGACTGATGGGTTGCTGTCTCATGGTGCAAACACCTTCCTGTCTCTGCTTGTCTGTTTGTCCTTCTGTAAACACTCGGGTTTCTTCTGCTTTGTGGCCTTCTTCAGTAATGCCATTATGAACATGAGCTTTTGTTCATGTTTCTGGATCATCTGGCAGTTTATGTCTGATCTTATTTGTTTTTTTAGGAACTGCCCATCTGTTTCCCACAGCAGCTGCATCGTCTTCCATCCCCACCAGGGTTCTGCTGTTCTCCACGCTTGCCAATGCTGGTTGCTTTTATTTTTCACAGGTCTGTTCTAATGGGTATGAACTGGTAGTTTCTGTCCTTGGCTGTAGTCTCCTGGTATTTCAGCTTGCCACGTCTTTTTTGGCCACTTGTGTATATTTCTTGGAGAAATGGTTACTCAAGTCTTTGCCAGTTTTGAGAACTGCGCTCTTTATTGCTTGCTATTGAGTTGGAGGAGTTTGGGATGTCTTCTCCTGATTGGCTGTATGACTTGGGGATCCTTTATCTCACTCTCTGGCTTGCTCATTCACTCCATTGATCGTGTCCTTTGGAGAAACTCATTTGCATTTTGGTGAATTCTCGATTATGTACTTTCCCTATTGTTCACGTTTTCTGGGATCAGGGAATCATGAATGAATTCAGAGTTATGAAGCTTTCCCCCGCGTTTTCTTCCTATAATTCTATGTTTAACTCTTGTGTTTCGGGTGTCTGGTACATTCTGAGCTATTTTTGGCACACAGTGTGAGGCAAGGGTCTGGCCCTGATTTTGCAGGGGGCTCTGCTGCTCTCTCAGCACCAACTGTTAAGAAGATTCTTTCTGCAGTGATTGGTGCTGATGTGTCCCGCCGCCTCTGGAAGGGTAAAGTTGTTGACTTCATGTTGATGATCTTGATCGTTTCCTGGCACAGTTCTTCCGAAAGGATTAGGGCACACCCTTGGCATGCCTGGAGAATAGCCTTCCCTCTCGAGATGGCTGCTTCTGTTTCTGGGCCTCTGCTTGCTCCACTTACTTGCTGGCTTTCGAGTTCCTCTAGATTTCATTAACTCATTTATGGCAAGATTGCCCAGAATACTGATACTTAGAAGGGGATCTAGACAAGCTGACATTCTTAGCATGAACAGAGGAAGCTCAGACAATATCAGCTCCAGCCCCAGGTGCGGTGGATAAGCAACGTGCGTGTGCTTGTGGAGTCAAAAGTTCTTTCAGATCCAATCCAGCTCTGCACAGTGGTCGGTGTGCCTCATTTCCCCTGCTTAGAGGCAGGTTTCAACCTGTCCGCTTTTGCTGAGGAAGTAGGCCAGGGATCTCTTCCTCCTGTACTGGGGAAGTGGGAACATCCGACTTTGCAGCCGGCATAAAGCTGGTTTCCTTCTAGGTTTTCCGTCTGACTCTCTCTGAGGAACACTACCAGGAAGACTTAGAAGTGGAGTAGGAAAAAAATGAACTTGCTCTGGAATCAGAAAGACATAAATGGGAATTTTAGCTGCTCCCTCGTGTATCCTGATACTTAAGTCTCGGTTTTCTTCCCCTTCGGGAGGTTTGTTAGAAGAGTTGGATACACTAACACAGCCTGGGAAGGATCTGGTGTACTGAGACTTATGGCCTATAACCAATGTGAGCATGGAGCCCCTGCAGGGCTACTGCCTATAGGTAGGGGTGTTAGGGAGGGGTGGACAGAGGCATGTTGGCCTTATAGTAAGTTTTTATGCTAGATCAAGAACTATAGCTAATGCCCTTATTTGTGTGGGTGTGTGGGGAAGGAGCTCTGATATTGAGGTGGAGTGCTGAGAACCCCAGTTTAAAGTGTTTAAAGTGTTCCTTGCCTGGGGGAAATGCTTGCCTCCTCTTCCAAATGTGTAGTCCTGGGCTTCAATTCGAGTGGAAATCTCCAGCAGCTGCTAGGACAAACTTTGGCATTTATGGTTCCAGGCCACAAGACTGCCCTGCTCTTCGATGTTTATGCTCTTGCTATTGGGAACTCACGTGGCCTTGCTGTTGCTCAGAGTAGACAAGATAATGCTGCCAGAACAAACAGTCCTCAGTCTCAATGCTTTGCCCAAGGGGGAAATAATGGAATAAAAAATGGAAAATATAAAAAAAAATCTGGAATTAAACCAGATCAATAATGTGAACAAGCTTTAGACTCTTTATATGTCTGGCAAGCTTGGTTTCTGGAGACTTCTCGTAGTTTATGGGATTTCCAAGGGCCTTTGATTTTTGTCTTTTAGTAGCTATAGAGACTTAGGAGGTTATTTAAGTTTGAACTTAACTCACTTAAGTTGAAAACACTATAATAGTCATGATTACCATATGTATGTCTATATGTACATATATACATAGTTAATTTAAGGTTACTTAAATGTGTACTTAATTTACTTTAGTTGAATCACTATAATAATTATTGCTCCCATATATATTACTTGACTGAAGACCACTTTGCTAAAACTAGCTACCTTGAGCACTCTTCAGACATCTCCTTCTCTTTTTTTAAATTGCTTTTATTGAGCTATATATTTTTCTCCACTCCACTCCTTTCTTCCCCTCTCTCATTCTACCCTTTCCCATGGTCCCCATGCTCCCAATTTACTCAGGAGATCTTGTCTTTTTCTACTTCCCATGTAGATTAGATCCATGTATGTCTCTCTTAGGGTCCTCATTGCTGTCTAGGTTCTCTGGGGTTGCGAATTGCAGGCAGATTTCTCATTTTTATCTCTTCAGTTTGTAAAGTAATTATTTATTAGGCAACTTCATATACATATTTACTGAATTTTGGTTATTCCCATTCCCCATTGTTGTCTTTCATTTCCCTCTTTTTTTTTTTTTTCCATTGAAACCCCTTTTCTTCCCCCGAATCCTCTTCCAACTTTGGAGGTTTCTTTTTGTGTGCATGACCTATTATGTTTAATCATGGTTGCCTGCATAAACGTGACTGGGTTGTTGTTTACAAATGGATCATCAGTAACTTAGCGGCTACACAACTGGAGAAAGCGACAGCCCCTTCTCCTGGTACCCATTAGTTGCCCATAGTTCTTCAGTGGGCAGTGGGCCTCAGGGGCTCCTCCCCAGTGCATTATGCAGTTGTTACCAGCCCAATTTTATAAGGCAACCCCAGATGCTATGATTTCATGGATACAGTGGCTATGACAAGTCCAGAAGATGTTCTTTTGCGGCATTATCCCAGCCTCTGGGTCTTGCTTCTTTCCACCCCCTCTTCTGCAGTGTTCTCTCAGCCAGTGAGTAGGTGACATCTGTGTCGTATTTAGGGCCAAGCCCTCCCTAGTCACTTATCCTTTACACTGATAACAGCATTGAGTCTCTGTGCTGCTATCCGCTGCAAAAAGAGGCGTCTCTGATGAAGGCTGAAAGCAGCATTCATCTACAAATATAAACATAAATACTTAGAAAGTGGTTTAACATCATGTCCATTTAATAAAACAAGACTCAAAGGTTCCCCGAAGGGCCTATGACCTCTCTAGTCTTGGAGAACAGCTTTACAGAACCAAGCTTGTGTTTCTTCCTGTGGAGGAAGCCTCAGATCCCAGCAGGGAGCAGTTGGTTACCTCTGTAAGAGCTATGCCATTCTTACAGTAGCGTGCATATCTTGCCAGGTAGGAAGCTGCAGCAGATGGGGTCCACAGCTAGTTAGACTGCTGGTGACTTTTCTCCTCCAACAGTGTGCATAGCACGCTCTGACACTTGTGAAAACTAGCCAGGGGGAGGGAACTTCCAGCCATAGCTCAGTTGATGTTCTCAGTGTCCTTCAAATCCCAAGGGCGTTTACTCATTGTTTTTAAAAGTCAGAGTTAACATTCGTATTTTCTTTGTGCATAAATCGTCCATCTAATTCATTTTTTCTTGGTTTTATGTTTTTAATTCACTTTTAAAACTTTCATCCAGTTGAGTTATTATCAAATCTCTCTCACATATATTGGTCATGCAGTGTTGCTTCTTTGGATGTCTATTGTTTGACTTCTTTTGAAAGTAACTTTTATACCATATTTGCAATTGATTCTCATGCTCTTGATTGATGTGCTATTATTCATCTTAGGTGGCTATTCATATCTTAGGGTCTTAACTGATAGAATTGCATTTTCTGCTTTATTTTGTTTCCTTTTTTGGATGCTGCAAATTAAATGCAGAGCCCCATCCACATAAATGCATGGTCTATTACTTCTCTACCTTCCAATCTCTTGTTTTTCTATTTTAAACACTAAATTTGTTAATCTCTTCTATCCTTCATCTATTCCCCCTCATATTTCCAGCACTATTTTTACCCCTGACTTTTTCTCAGTTTTAAGGGCTTGATAGAATCACAATGGTAGGATTATGGGTGGGCTGATGAACAATCACAAACATCTTACCTCGTTAATGGTCCCTGTCCCCCCACCCTGCCTGCCATGCAGTTGTGTTTATGTCTTTTAAAATCCAAACTTGAAGTTCTCAGCAGTTTTCTGAAACTAGAAATCAGTTGGTAATAAAGGAAAGAGAAGGAAATTTTCTTTAATGGAGACAGTGGCTCTTGGGAAGCCATCTGTCTGGGTCTGGTCCTTCGGATCCTATCTAGGCTAGTTTCAAGGTTCTCAACTTTCCAGTTCCTTTGGAGAAGGCTTGGGGGTTTCTTAGTGTCCTGGGCACTGGAATGAAACTTCTGCGGGGTCCTTCATGAAAAGCACAGTGCACAGAGCTTCTATATAGCTGTTAGGATGTGACTCTTGGTTTTGTATCCCAAGAACTTAAAATAACCAGGAGTTAAGCCATTATCATCAAAACCATGCAGGCAGAATTGAACGAGGGTGGGAAGTCGCTCTTACCTGTATTTTGGTTTTGTATTTCTGTCTTATCATTCATTGCCTCTTTCTTTTTTTTCTCAATAAACAATTAGAAACGCATCTCATTGTGAGGAGATGTCCATTGAGCTCAAGGTTTTCAAGGACACTGAAGCATCCCTGCCATTTGTCTCCTACTCGCAAATCTCAACCGTTTCTACCACTGGGTTGCTAGTGTGCCCTGACCTGAAAGAATTCATTGGCAAAACCGGTGGAAATGTCCAGTGGTATAAGGTACGTGTGCCACTGAAATATGTCTTATGGCCCATAGAACACATACTCAAAAGCTGTGAGAAGACAATCTATCCATGTAGACACACATCCGCTTACATACTTAGAATTATAATATTAATTTAAATGGCGGTGGTTAGTATTGTCTATTGGTCCTTTTCTGGTTTGTGGGTAAGGTTTATATAGACAGACTATGAGATGATTCCAGGATAAATAGCTGCTAAGGGGCTTTTGACTGTCACTTGCCTAAAAATAAGCAGGAAAAAAAAACCCTCTTCATGACTACAAAAATGTTATATACACGTTAAAGAAGTCTCTTTTAAAGCACAAGGCAACTTTTGGGTTACAGGAGGAAATGCAGTTGCACTTGGTCTTCCTGAATAAATAGCAAGTATTGTGTGGATTCTGAGGGCATCAGACATGGCTATGTCGAGTATAGGCCTCAAATTCTGGCCTAGAGTCACATAGCTCCTGTCTTTGGATATCTCATCAAGTATGAAGAGTTTTCAGTTTGGAAATGCTTGAAACAATTAGAAGACTACTTCAGAGCACATGACCACTGAGAAAAGCTCAAACTTCAGTGTCCATAAACACACCCGAATTATCCCATAATAGAGTATGACTATGACTTCACTCAAGGTTATATTTGACTTCTAAAAGCTTTGCACTTTGATCACATTTTCTTTTCTTCCCCTCCCTCCCTTCCTTTTTTCTTCCTCAGCCCCTCTGCCCCACTCCTCCTCCCTTCTCCTTACAATAGGCTTTTTCTATATAGCTCAGACTGGCTTCAAACTCCTAATTCTCCTGTCTTAACTTCCCCACTGCTGAGATTATGGGTACAGAATACCATGTAAGGGTCTATTGTGGTATAGAAAGCAATATTCTTGAGAACATGGTATAATAAGGATTTTTTTTACCCTGTGCACTTTTCCTATTTTACTGGAGGCCTTGCCCTTGAATGCTCTATTTGCAGAGAATCTACAGGACTCTGTGTCTATATGAGACTATGGACCCAGACTCCTCTATTTTATTACTCTTGCAGTATATCTTTTGTAGTATGTCCTAAAATTGAAATGATTTTTTAAAATATTTATTTATTTATTATGTTTACAATATTCTTTCTACATGTATGCCTGCAGGCCAGAAGAGGGCACCAGACCTCATTACAGATGGTTGTGAACCACCATGTGGTTGCTGGGAATTGAACTCAGGACCTTTGGAAGAGCAGGCAATGCTCTTAACCACTGAGCCATCTCTCCAGCCCCCTTGAAATGATTTTTAAAGCAATTCCTGCAGCATGGTCTCTTCCCACTCTTGCTCTTCGTATCTCCATAGCTGGTGAATAGTGGTCTTCCTTGATATTGTTCCTAGTCACTAGAAGGCTGTTAGATCTTTAATGGCCTAAAATATGTTAATCTTTAAAACAGATGTTAGCAGATTCCTTTTCCTAAACTGGGTATGGGCATCCATCCACGTCATCCCAGAATCCAGATGGCTAAGACAGGAGACTATAGAGTGGAAGGCCAGTGCGGGCTACATGATAAGATTCTGCATCAAAAAAAAAAGTATGAGTTTTTTTAAAATATAGTTAAAAGTGTGCCCCCAAAGACAAAATTGTCAATGTAAATATGTACTAGGGGAATTCTTAGGTTGCAGACTCTACATTGACTGATAGTGATGATGTGGTCCTGAGTGCTGAAGAGCTGTGTTAGTTTACAATATAACATTATGATCCATTTTCTCCCAAGGGCTCTGTCCTCTTGGATAGAGACAGTAAGAAATTCCTCAGAGTGCGAGACCCTACACGCTTATTGATCTCCAACACATCTCTGGAAGATGCCGGCTTTTACAGATGTGTCGCCACATTTCTCCACAAGGGCACGAAATACAATATCACTAGGAATATTAAGCTCCGTGTCGAAGGTGAGTACTTAACCACCAATGTACCTGTCATGCCTAGAAGCAGCCCGATGAGAATAAATTCAGAATCACATAGAAGCCCTTGAATATCTTTGACATGAAGGAAAAGAAAAAATACATTTGTCAACTATTCTAAAAGTTACTAATACATGTGCACGATACTTTAAACAGTATACTTATACCAGGGAGTTCTGAGAGGAGAGTTAATTCTTGGGCAGGTAAAGGATTCAAGTAGGTGTTTGAAAATGGTAAGCCTAAAACTCACCACTAGAGGAGGCCAAACCAAAGAGTCTGGAACGTGGAAGGTACAAACTGAGCCGGTGAGGACACATTTGCCATACTCTTGTATATACTTCTAAGGCACAGAGATTTTACTGCAGTGATTCTCAACCTGTGCTTTGTGATCCCTTTGGGGGGGTCACCCATCAAATAGCCTGCACATTAGATATTAAGATACATTAAATTAGAAAAATTACAGTTATAAAAGTAGCAATGAAGCAATTTTATGGTTGAGGGTCACCAAAGCATGAGGAACTGTATTAAAGAGTTATAGCATTAGAAAGGTTGAGAACCACTATTTTATTTTATTTTTTATTAAGTTTATTCTACTTTATGTGTATGAATGTGTGCCTGTTGGATCCACTGGAACAAGGATTACAGATTGTTGTGAGCCACCATGTGGGTTCTGGGGATTGAACCCTCATCATTTTGCAAGAGTAACAAGTGTTCTTAGCCTCTGAGCCATCTCTCCAGCCCTGTTTTATTGGATTTTTGAACAGAGCACTATGCACTGACGTGGCCCATTCAAAGTGTCCTGGTTGTTGTTTGCCGAGGGTATATCTCATTGTCCTTCATTCAGATTGAGCACTACCTGCCTGAAAGTTGACAACAGAAATCTTCAGGATCTTGATTTCCCCTACCCCCAAGAACTGGCATATTTACACTGGCATAATGAAATATCTTGGGGATAGGCACAAGGTTAAATATGAAATTAATTTATGCTTCATATATATGATTAAATATGACCCAGAGATCGATCGATCGATCGATCGATCGATCGATCTATCTATCTATCTATCTACCATTTTTTTTTTATTTTGAGGCGGGGTCTCAAGCTATTCTTAGAATGGCTATGTGGTGCAGGGGATGCAGGCTGACTTCTAGCTAGAGAACCTCTTGCAGTCTTTCAAAGCTGACATTACAGACACATGCCACCAGTATTTTAAATAACTCTGCATAAAACCCAGTGTCACAGTATGGCATTTTCCATTCGCAGCATTATATTGACGTTCAATGAATTCCAGATCTTAGAGTACTTCAGATTTTGAAAACCTGGAGAAGTGACGCTCAGCCTACACCAGGACAAATTATCTGGGAAAAGAAGGCAGTAGGCAGGGTCGGCCAACATTTAACAGCGGTTTAATATCCATCCCATCTCTTACGTGCTGGAGGGGAAGCTGAGTGAAAGGAGAATAAAATATGTGAGCCATAGACTCTGTCCTTAAGGATACCCAGTCTTTCTTTATACTGAGGACCAGACACAACTGGAGACTTTAATTAAAGGCAAACTTGAAAGACCTTTGGGAACACTAAGGGTTAAGTGACTTCCGTGAGGGGAAAATAGCTTTTCTCCCAGAACCCAGAGATTCATTTGTGCCATAAGGAATATCTTATCCTCCACGAACCCAAGCCTCTGGGCTATGCTTTCTCTTTTCCTGTCCTGTGAGAACCCATTCATAACTTCTTGCTTGATTCAGGCTAGTGCTTGCGAACGTCCTTCATTGCTTGTTTGTGTGCAATACTGCACAGAAACACGAGGGGGCGGCAGACCTACACGTTGTACTGAGTTGTGAACCTGGGGAGGCACAGTGAGTCCCAAATGGTGGTCTTGAACCAGAAGCAGCGGCGTCACCTGTGTACTGCCCATCCCAGGGCCTTCCCCGTCAAGACCATGCAGGTGCACCCTCAAAGTTGGAGGACTCCCTTGACCGTCCCAGCCTTGTTAAAGGGAGCAATGTTACTTTCCCAGTGGAGAAGCCCTCTGCTCCTTAACTTTCACTGTCAGCTCAGCAGATCCTTATTTCACTGGTAATTGAAGTTCTTTTTAGTAGAAGAAAAGAGGGCTATGAGGCCAGGTGGAAGGACGGCTCCCAGCCCTTCGCTTGCTCCCAGCTGTCCTTTCTGCTCCATGCCAGGTGCTCAGCTCCTTCAAGCTGGTTCAAATACCGTGGAGGTCCACTCAAGGCTCTCTGAAGAGTTTATTATTTCCTTAGTTAAAAAGGCATCTGTGATCAGGGCTGGGTCACTGAATTTAATACCCAGCGTGGAATTAGTCTCATGCACGGGCGACTTTCCAACCCCTGGGTCTGCTCTTGAAGAAGTGAATCTTTAGCGTTGATGGGTAGGACAGACTTTGAGGCAAAAGCCATCCTGTGGCTATCATCAGTGAGCCTTCAGGAAGCCTGGGAGAGGACCTGCTGATTGTTCACCACAGAGCAGATAAAAAGACCATCTGCCAGAGGAATGTGCAACCGTGGCCTCTTCCAGTAATGTCTCTGCCGGGAAAAGGATTGGTTTAAGATGCTCAGTTTTTATGGAGAGCCCGTTTCCGTTGCCAGACAAAGGCTGATTCTCGAAATGCCTGGCCACATGGGGGAAGGATCACTTAATTACCTAAACAATGGAATCCAAATTTCAGCTCAAAACCGAGGCTTCCCTAATGCAAACTCTTTTCCTTCCAACCTTCTCAGAAATGACCGTGGAATCCATCCCTGTGATTATCTCTCCCCTAGAGACAATACCAGCATCTCTGGGTAAGGATCTGCGAGGACTGGGTATCCCACATGCCCACTGTGGTGCCTGAAATCCATCGGGGTGGGGGGCTGGCCACACCGTGCCCTTGGGTGTATACTGCCTGAGTGGAACCCAAGAACCGCAATATGTAGGGACCGGCAGGACCAATGCAGGGGACCTCTGTCTTTTGCCAAGTGCTTTTTACGATTGCCAGTATTTGAGAGCAATGGTGCTTTATTTTCTCAAAGTTACACCTACAAAAGCCTAAATGTGAAGAGGTAAATCATTTGGTAACAGTTATTAACTGGAGGAAAGAGTCCTCAGAGCTGGCCTCTTTGGTGTATATGGTTTAATTCTTGTTCTCAATGTTTAGCAACTGCTCAGAATCCCTATAAGAATCTTATTTGTCAGACAAAGCCAGCAGTGACTGCAGACAGTTTCCTGTTATTAGAGGAGCTGGTATAGTCTCTCAAGGGTCTGAGGAAAAGGGCTTTTCCGTTCTCGCACCATGCTGATGCTGGATGTCCTGACCACCACACACACTGGCTGGCTGGTCCCTAGTGGGCGGCCAGTAAAGGCACATGAAGGAACTGTATCAGTCCCTTTTTGGCATTCATGGGAGGGAAGAACTGGCCATTTATTGAGCATCTACTCTGTCCAGTGGGAGTCCATCCCATGCCTACACCAACTCTTATAGGAAGGTTTTATTTCTGCGATTCACCATAAAAAAAGCCACCGTGGAGTCATGGGGATAAGAGTGCACTTCCGAAACTCACATTTGGGGTCAAGTCTGGATACATACTCTGGTCTGCATGCCTGGGAAGTCAGCTGACATGTACATACCCCTTTATGTGTTTGGTTTTAGTAATATAGATTTTTATAGTTTTGATGTTCATTCTGGCTTCAGAGGCCTTTTTAAAAACAAAACATTATTCTTATTACCTCGGTTTAGTGTTGGATTTAAACGCTAAAGTTAAACCCTGAGGCCATTGAGGTAGAGAGCTCTTGTACACAGGTTAGAATTGGTTGTATCCCTCATGCTTGCCTATTGACGAGCTATTTGAAAGCCATAGTCGTGGAGACAGTAGTTGGTACTGCCTGGCTTCCAGGTTCTTAGATCTCAGGTGCTACCTGGCAAAGAGGATTCCAGTTCCGATCTCTTGATTTGAGGGCACCACAGGGTGTAGTAGAGTCACATGACTACAGATTTATTTATTTATTTATTTATTTATTTATTTATTTAATCCCAGTTCTGGGCATGGGGTCAGACTTTCTGTGCATTAGGCATGACCTAGATATAATGGGCTATACTTATAGCAGGGGGTGAGGGTGGGGAGTGTTTAAGGTCACAGGGACAAGAAGCGATGGAGGAGAGCTGACGTTCTCTCTCTGAGTATGACATAGGACCAAGAATAGGAACAGGCCAACTGCAGAAGGTGTGTCTTAGGAGTAAGAAGCGAGGGAATGGGATTTACTCTTCTTTTTCATCGTCTCCTCTTTGGTGACTCAGAAAGAAAGGTAACTTCCTATGATCGCAAGGCATTGGCACCATCTCATGGCACAGCCATATAGGAGCCTCTGTCCTTAGATTATGCAGTTGGTTTTCAAAGGGTTAATTCTAAACTTTGGCCCTCTTGGAATGGAGCCTTCTATTGGGAAAGAGTGGAGCTGAGACCAGCAAGGGGCCAAAAGAAAGACTCACATATGGTTGGATTTTATGTAGTTAGAAATCAGTGTGGAAGAAGTCAGTCCTTGAATGTTGGGTGCTCTGTAGGAACAGAGCAACCATGATGAAGCCATTCAAGTCCATTGCCTGCATAGACCAATGGATGGTCCTGGGGATATTTGGTAAATAAGAATCGAACAAAGCTTTACTTGAGCAGAACCATTTGAGGAAACTAAATTTTCCTCTAAGGAAGGGATTGACTTGTGAGGGGTGTTTGGGAAGACAAAGAAGCCCTGTGCTGAGAGCTTTCTGCAGGATGGGAAGTCAGGGGGCCCCTTTCCCTGCTGGGTTCTGATGGTTGATGTGTTCTATCTTGCTATACCCAGGGTCAAGACTCATAGTCCCGTGCAAGGTGTTTCTGGGAACTGATACATCTTCCAACACCATTGTGTGGTGGATGGCTAACAGCACTTTTATCTCAGTGGCCTACCCGAGAGGCCGTGTGACCGAGGGGCTACTCCAGTAAGTGGGTGAGGGTCTCTGCTGTGATTTGCTTCCTTCTGGAGGAGCTATTACATTCAGGGCCCATTAATATGACTTACGCGCAAGAAAAGTACTTCTTAAAAAGACATAAACTCTTGGGGATTTGGAACTTGAAAAAATTGAATTTTGCAAAAAGTTGTCTTGAGAACCAAACATTCTCTAGACTTGGAGGAGTTGCAGTTTGCCAGTTGATTCTTTGAACATTTATTTCTTGAATTTTTGCATGTCTATCTCAGAGTTCATATAGTTCCATTGTCCACTTTGCCACACTCATTACTCTTAAAGATTTTCATAAGTTCTCGTAAACACTGTGAGGCCTTGCCCTAGTATCTGCATTAGAACTGCAGTCTTGTAGCTCGATGTGTTCTAAGAGAGAGAGAGAATATGAATTAGTTGTGTATAAGCACCCATCCCTTCAACAGGTTTTTGCACTATGAAAGTTGACAGGGAAGGAGACAAGTGGTTCAAAACTTCCCCTGCTTTATAAGTTGCAGTCTTGATATTTTGAATTAGCCTGGATTTACGTTTGGCACTCTTTTGCATTTTGGGGAAGATTAACAAGAAGTTCTTTATGGGTGTAATGAGTGGACGAGAAGGATGCGCAGTAGCACATTTGCTTTCAGTTCCTTGTTTCCAAAGACTTAGCCACAATAAATGTCCAAGGTTAGACTCAGCCTGCTTCCTTAACAGCCCCAGTTAACACATGCTGGCATGCCTATATTCATTTGAAGGGATGGTAGTGAAATATCTTTGACTTCTGCTAATATTACAAATGGTGGCCACTCTGATTAAGGCCTTCCCCAGGCTGGCTGATGCCTCTTACCTGGATTTGTTTTTGCCATGAGGGCTGCAATAGCAATGAGGGAAGACACCTATGGGGGATGGAGTTCTGGAAACTCCCTCTGCCTCACCATGCAATAACCGACTGGTGAGAGAGTCAAATTTCCCAAACTAGAATTTTCTGTTTCTACTTGATTATTGAAAATATTTTTGTTCACCCCCAAATGAAGTTTTCCATCCAAACCAAGGGGATAGTACGTGTTTTTATTGTTAGCAAGTGTCCTGTTACAATGAACAGCATCTTCAAGGACATATTGTCCTCCGGGAACATGCTAGAAGGTCTCTCAAAAGAGAGCCAAATATGACGTCCAGTTCTTCGAGCTCCACAGAAGTCCTGGTCAGTTTATACACGACAGGTGTTTCTAACTTGAGAATGTCTGCCTGGCGATCTTGAAAAGGGCTGGTCTACTTGCCATGCGTACGTCGTACTTAATCAAAGGTCTTCTCACCCAGCCAATATTCAGAGAACGATGAGAACTATATGGAAGTGTCGCTGATTTTCGATCCAGTCACAAGGGAGGATCTGAACACGGACTTTAAATGTGTGGCCAAGAATCCAAGGAGTCTTCAGTCACTCCATACCACAGTCAAAGAAGGTAGGGATCTGGGGGACACGAAAAGAAAACACAGCTTGTTGAATGCTTTATGGATGCTGGACAAAGCTGCACACTGATGTTTCCTTGCGGGGCGTTGAAAGCAAACCTCAAAATGTGTGCGAGCATGTGTGTTGTACATATATGTTCATGTGGGTGCAGAGAAGCATGTTGGATGCCTTGTGCAGTTGCTCTCCACCTTATACCTTTTTGAGACAGAGTCTCCCACTGAATACAGAGCACATCGCTTTGGCTAGGCTGACCAGCCAATAAACTCCAGGCATCTGCCCATCTCTACCCCACCACAGAGTTGAGGTTATAAATGTGTGCACCCAGCTTTTACGTGGCTGCTGGGGATTCAAACTTAGGTCCTCATGTTTGCACAGCGGACACTTTACTGACTGAGAGATTTCCTCAGTCCCAAACTTTCTTTTTTGGGGCCCGTGTTACACGTTATACATACACATAAGTATGTGTGTTCATATGAATGCACGTGCAGCTAAGTGCCCACGCGCGTGCACGTTTATGTGTTTGTGTGTGGGGGGTATGAGCACCAGAGACTGGGTTTTCTTCAACCAATTCCCAGTTTATTTCATGTAGACAAGGTCTCTCACTGTTAACACAGAGTTCATTGATTGAAGGAGTCTGGTTACTCAGCCAGCTCCAGGGGTCCCTGTTTCTGTCTCCTGGGTGCTGGAATTATAAGCAGGCTGACACATCCACCTTGCATACACATAGGTGCTGGGGACCTGCAGTCTGGTCCTTAGGTTTGTGCGGGTAAGCAAATTTCCAGGTACCTCCACACAGATTCTCCTGAGCTGCCCCAGATTGCAACTGCCCTGGCTCCTTCCAGATTGAAGGTGTATAACTGGAACTCGACTGGCTGGGGTGTTGTCTCAGGTCATCCCGGTGCCGTTCAAGCTGGGAGGGACCTGGTGATGTAGGAATTGCATAGATTTGGAAGTCAGAGTCCCACAGAAAGTTGCTTCCCCATCTAAGTGCCAGATTAACAAAGGAACCTGGACTGTGTGTGGTCCCTGCGCTGGAGACCTTTAACACGAAAGATCACTAAGTCCTAACTTAGCATGTTTGTCCCTAGGGAGGCTGTGGCTGATTTTCAAGGGGACATTAGGATTGAGAGGTATATGGAACTTGTTTCTCAGAAAATAACAGCTTCACATAGTTCTCATCCATGGGGAACTGTAAGACGGTGGGGAATTCCCCATAGAACTGGATTCAGATCCTGTTCATCCCTGGACAGAGAATGGAAAAATATTAGCTCCAAGTGTTTAATCTGATACCGGGGAGAAGTTCACCAGGTAAAGCAAACCTGAGTTTAGATCCCAGGCATCCATGTAAAAAGTCAGCCATGGTAACATGTACCCATAATCACAAGGCTGTGGGGGAGGAGACAGAAGAATCCTGGGGGTCACTGACCAGTCAATCCAGACAATAAATGAATTCCAGGTTCAATGAGAGACCCTGATTAAAAAGAAAAGGGGGGGGGGAAGGGTGATAGAGGAAGACACCCAAGTTAGTCCTTGGTCTCTGCACACACGTCTCTACTCACCCACTCATACCCCCGTATGCCCATACCACTGACCCTACAATCCTCCCCACATACACATCTACCCCCATGCTCATCCACATACATACACCCACACACATGCCCTACCATCACTGCACTTGCACACACCCATACCCTCCAGAGAGGGGGAAAGAGAGAGAGAGAGAGAGAGAGAGAGAGAGAGAGAGAGAGAGAGGTGTGAACACCGCTCAAACAAACATGGAATCCTACATACCTATAGCCCTAGTCCCTGAACCGAAGCAAGGGGGAGTCAAGAGTTTGAGGACCTACTGGGTACTGAGACTCTATCTCAAAAAAAACATCGTTGAATTATGACCTTATCAGCGTGATATCCAATAACACTCTTCTCATACACACTTTTTGTATTGTGTTTTGCAATCTCTTCTTGTATTTCCACAACAGATATGTCTAGGAATCAAATACACAACACTGAACCAAAGAAATTATCTTAGCATCCAAGGTCCTTAACCAAAAGTTTCTTTATTTCCTACTTAATCCCCATGACCCCCAGGATCACTGGCATGACAGAGATTGTCCCCGGCACTTCATGGGCAGCTAGCGGGGACAAAAGCAAACTCTTTTTCACATGCACTACCCCACGGCCTTGGCTCCTTACTTTGTGATGTCCTTTAAGTAGGTTTTGCCCACCTTGCTTGTTCTATGATGTCACAGATAGCATAGGCTTTGGTGTAAGAGACAAACTTTCTAGAAATTTATCGAAAGAGAAACCCTCTGATTTGTTTCTTCCTTGTGCCCTGGGCTGTCTGGTTCTGCAGAGCTGTTTCTTCTCACGGTCTCTCTCCTCTCTACAGTCTCCTCCACGTTCTCCTGGGGCATTGCGTTGGCACCCCTGTCACTGGTCTTCCTGGTTGTGGCGGGAATATGGATGCACAGACGGTGTAAACAGAGGGCTGGACTGACCAGGCTACGGACTGACACCCAGGACTTCCCTTCCAGCCCAAGCCAAATAAAGGAAATGAACTAATACGAGGCCAACCTGTGTCATGTTGTATGAAGGTCACTGTGCTGTTCAGAGGCTGGTTTGCTCTGTGTTGTTCAGCAGAGCTTTTCTGTAGCCGGAGCTGGAAGTCCACACGCCACACTTCTCTGAAAATCGTGCTGGGAGCAAATGTGTAGGGAATAGGAGCAGCCCTGTCCCTGTTGGTCCATGTATGAGAACAAGGCATGTGTAGCCACAGCAGCCATTGAGGTCTTATGGAGAATGTGCCCACTGGGCTTGACCCTTAGTACAGTAATGTCCTTCTTCACCCATCCAAAACAAGAAGCCATTAATCTTGAGTAAGAGGGAAACCCTCCAGAGTGCTTTGAAAGTCCATCCGCCCTTTCAATTAAATTGTGCTAGAAGTCTGTTTAGTCAGGCTGATGGGGGATACTGGGGGCACAAAGATGCTTAAGACAATGTGCCCAGAAAGGACGATTTTCATTTGAATTCTGGAAGGACAATTTGGAAATACTGAAACGGAAGAGTAAGGATTAGTGATTGAAAATGAACAATTATGGGGCTGGAGAGATGGCTCAGTGGTTAAGAGCATTGCCTGCTCTTCCAAAGGTCCTGAGTTCAATTCCCAGCAACCACATGGTGCCTCACAACCATCTGTAATAAGGTCTGGTGCCCTCTTCTGGCCTGCAGGCATACACACAAACAGAATGTTGTATACATAATAAGTAAATAAATAAATATTTTTAAAAAAGAAAATGAACAATTATCTTTTCGCAGTGGATAGAAACCACCACAAGAATCCCCGGCCGGTCAAAACTGCCGAGAACAGCTGCCTATAGAGTGTCCATCCACCACTGTTACATCTACAACACAACCCTAGACTCAAGGCTCGAGGAACATCTCAGAGGGGTAGAAAGGTTGTAAGAGTCAGAAGTCAAGGACATTTGCGGCGAGGCAGGGCTTTCTATAAGGACAAGGAAGTTGCACCTACGGAATATCAACAACACGGTGTTCTAAATAAGACCCGGATAAGACAACAGCAAAGGTAGACAATTCACAAGCCCTAGATAAAGAGCTCCAGCTAATTACTGGCTGCCGAGGGAGGGAGAATCAGTCTTCTCCAGGCTGAGCCCCAAATAGATTACTCAGTCCCAAGTGATCAGCTTTGAACACACGTGCACATGAGCAACACTAAATGGATGTGGCAGGTTATAGATGTGTATGCATACACATAAAATAATAATTCAAGCTTAGGTCATGAATTTGAGAGGGAGGTGGGGGCACGGAAGGAGTTGACTGAGGGAGAGGGTGGGGGTATGATGAAAATACAGTACTCACGTGTACGAAATTCTCAAAAAAAAATGTAAAAAGCAAAAGAACAAGAAAATGTAGCCCGCTTAAAAAATTCACTATTTTTTTCTCCCACAAACAACAGAGTAATTTAAACTTTAAATTTAAAGTTACTTAGCTGAGAGGCATCATTCTTAGTATGTTTTGCTACTGTCTTAAAATGACTTCTTTTTCTTTGAGAAAAACCAAATGGCCAAAAGCAGTTTGGGAAGAAAAGGGTTAATTTGGCTTGCAGGTTAGAGGCCAACACCAGGGGAAGCCAATGTTGGATTCAGGGCAGGAACCTGGAGGCTGGAAATAAGCAGGGGCCAGGGAGGATGCTGCTTACTGGTTTGCTCCTTAGGCTCACAATTAGTTCCCTTTCTCATACCTCCAAGGACCACCTGCTCAGAGATAGCTCCACCCACAGTGGGCTGGGCCCTCCCAGGTCTATCTTGCATCAAGGTAATTCGCCTATGGGTCATTCTGTTGGAGGCACTTTTTTCAGTAGATGTTCCCCTTCCCAACTCTAGCTTGTATCAAGCTGACAAAAACAAAACAAAACAAAACAAAACAAAACAAAACAAAAAAACAAAACTAAGCAGGACAGTTACTGTAACAAATTACAATAAATGGGGCAGGGAGTTGGCTTTTATAAACAATGGAAATTCATTTCCTACAGTTCAGGAAGTTGGGAGTTCAAGATCATGATGATGGTACTTCCTGGTTCGCAGAGAGCTGCTGTACAGAACAAGCTCCTTCCGATGGCCCCGCCTTCCAATACCATTCTACCAAGGATTAAAATTTCAACACAGGAATGTCAGGAAGACACAAGCAATCTTGTAGCAGCCACATCCTTGTCAATGTGAGAACACGGGTAGGAGACACACACACAAAAGCTTGTGTCAGTGATCAACAGATGAAGACTAACGAGTTACCGACAAGCTCAACACGCTCACACCCTATCCGGTGTTAATGAGTAAGAACAAGGCTATTTGGATGCAGGCACGCCAGTACCCCATAACTCTTTTAGCAATTTCAGAATAGAAAAAAGGCAATAAGGATGAAACCAGTGAGATGCTAGCTTAGGGTCAGCTTGAACATGTTTCTAAGATCCAAGTATCTCTTAACCCTTTCTGCCCAGTGATGTCAGGCTGGTGATGGAGAGCCATTGTGAGCTCTTTTCACCATAAAAAGAAAGGCCAATGCCACAGACAAGCACTTCCTTCCTCTCCCCGGCTGCCACAGAGATCAGACCAGGTCAAAGAGGTGCCAGTAGTGCCATTCCCGGCAATTTATCTCAGGCCATCCTTTGAAAATAGAACTGATTAGAGTTATACAACTGTCTTGACGCTAAAAAAAACTATGCATCAATTTCCAGTTATAATTGTTCATATTGTAAGACAAGGAGACTGTTAATGGGGAAATTATAAAGTGTTTTGTGTGATCCTTAGGATTCTGTTACAAAGCATGGTTGGAATCTGGACTGGCTCTTAGCCTCTTGGTCAAAGAATTGAAAGAAAGCGGCGCGTAGATGTGCAAAGGTTAGCAAGGAAGCTTTATTCAAAGCGCATTGATAGCGCAGGTCAGCCCTACACTGGTAAGTTCGACAGGGGTTCAGTTGAGTGAGTCATTTAAAGGCCTGACTATCTTCCCAGGACTGTCTTGTATGGGATTCAAAAGAAGAGGAAGTGTAGTTAGTAGAGAAGAACTAGAGCGTGTCTCTGTTGTAGCTGACCGATTATATTGCATAATCATTTCTCCTGTTGGGTCCCTTTCCGTAATGCTTCTACCTGATTACAATCGGATGCGCACCCAGTTATGCATATGCATAAGATGGTAAACAGAGGATTCTTCTGGGCAGGCCATTTAGGGACAACGCGGTTTTGCACCATTACAAAATGAATCCAAAACCAATCCAGGCTGAATGGCCTGTCTACCTTCATACCTCGACATAAGCCGAGGGTGACTGCACAGAATCAAGGTTTGATGGTCAGTAAGAAAAGGGAGAACACACTCCATTGTTGGGAGTTGGCTGTGTACCCAGGTCGCTGAAGGGTTGCTATGTGCATTGTTTGGAGTGAGGTGTGTGTGCATAGGTTGAGCCAAGTGGAGTTCCAGGTGACTAAGCTGTTCCCCATGCTTGACTGCCGGAGTTACGATGCCATTACCTGCATCTAGACAAAGATGAAAGTTGGAAATAAGGGATTGAAGGAGCGCTATCTTTGCTGTGTGACCCTGGGCAAATCCTTTCATCTTGCTGACTACCACTTTTCTCATTTGAAAAGTTGGGATGATAGCAAAAGCTCTATTAACTATTTAGCTATATTTTGTGTATTTATACCTTTCCTTTTCAAAATTAGAAGTCAAACCCAGGAAGTATCAACGGAAATCAAAACAGCGGCTTTGCGTAGGCTACACACAAGCAGACCACATCTTGCCAGCAACTCCAGTCTGCTGCTGGTTTCTCTGCATTTCTGCCCATCAGAATGTAGCCATGCCTGCATGTTTGTGGATCATCATTGGCTGTCTTTGCTCTTTGCAGACAGAGCAGCTCCAACAGGAAAGCCTGACATAGTTACTATCTGGCCCTTCCCAGAGAGGGTTTAACAGGCCCCGATTTGGACCAAAGAGAACCAGAATCAATTTCGACCCTTATTTTAACACTTCCCTGCTGTCGTCTCCTCTCGCTCCTTCCTCTGCTTTCTCACCATTTGAGGAGGAGAAGAAGCAGGCAGAGGAAGCAGTGGCTTCTGAGCATCTAGGCTTTCCCTCTGAAGGCAGAGCACATGGCTTGAGATGGAAGGACCAGGCAGCTCGTCACAAGCTGCTGGGACAGCAGAACCGTGGGCTCTATGATCTCTTTATTAGTCCCTTCAGCTTTCTGGCCCCCACCTGCAGATTTTGGCAGCTTTAGCCATGATCCCAGAAAAAGAACCTGACTGTGACTAGGAGGAACGGCACCTTGACTGTGCCTTGGACATACTGCCTTCAAACTATGTTTCTGAAGTGATAGAAGAATATGAGAGAGGGGTTCTCAGCAGCTCATATTCATGTCAAAGAAGAAGCATAATGAGATCAGTACAGCAAGTGGAACAAGAGCTGTTACTTTTCTAAAAGACACTGTGTATTGTTTAAGGACAGTGTCTTAGGTAGAAGAATAAAAGAAATAAGATTGACCATGTGTTGACATTTTTTTTTTGTCACTGTGATGGTTTTCCTGGGTTTTTCCATGCCATCCTGTCTATTCTTGTATAAGTCTGAAAATTCCCATATTAGAGAGTAAAATATAAGGCAGAACCAAATTAGGTATCTACTAGGCAAGGGGTGGGAATGCAGTAAGTAGCATGGTGGGCTTACGCAATGGGAGACTAAGGAAGCCACCGTAATAAATAAGAGGCATGCAACAATATCGCTGGGTCTTAGAAGGATGTCAATGAATGAAGTCCAGGAAGTGTTCATTCACACCATGGTGCCCTTCTAGGGAAAGCAGGAACAACGAAACTGGACATTTGTGTTCTTTCTCCCCTTAATCTTTCTCTGTTTTTATACACACACATGTATAGACACATGTATGTCTGTGATTAGAAGACAGTAGTTTCATGCATATATTTCTAAATGAGGGGGGAAGAGGGGGACAGAGAGACAGAGAGACAGACTTGTGTCAGGGAACAAGTCAGGGACAATGGTCAGAAAGAATCGGAAGATGTCAGATCCATCTAGTTTCATTCTCATGTTGGGTAGTGGGCTATAATCACTTAGCCTATCATCAAATAAGCAAATTACAAACCAGGCCACCCAGGGAACAATGAAAAATGTGCGTTCAGAATCAAGGAAACCTGACTAACACAGGTTCATGCACTCGAGTCCTAATGAAGTATAGCAGCAGGTTGATCTCTTAATGCTCTATGTATCAATACGCTACCTCCTCAAGAAGTAAATAAGGATAACAGTGGTTGTTAACAACCGTAACCAAAAGTGACTGATACATTAAAGGTATATTTAATGCCTCATGCATTTCAAATGCCCAAGGAGATACTGGGGGCTCTTAAATAGAAAAGGTGGAGATTTACTGCAAGAGTCTCAAGCCAGGAGGGTTCTTACTCAAGGGTACATCTCCAGAACTGGGCATGGTGCCTTGCCAACTGTAGATTTTTACAATGTGTCTGCAGCATGAATAAACTGCTCCCACACAAAACTTGCACTGGCTTTTGCCCTGACATTCTGCCAACCGCTGGGCACCAAAGCTCCCGGTGTTTCTGTGGTTGCTTTCTTGAATATGTGTTCTCCACCCCCTGGGCATCTGCCATCCTTGTCACCTCTTCAGGTCTGCTTGCTACTGCTCTTGGGCTCCAAGAGATCACTGCC